GTAGTTCGGGGCAATTTAGGCCAAAATTGAGGCGCAAAGTGCATGGACGGATGTCATCGACTTGGTCGCGGGACGACATGTCCACTAGCATCGAGATGGCGCCATAACCGACAACTGGGAGCCTGGCGCCGTTCCCGACTGTCAAAGACAGCGCACATGGGACGTAGCGCGAGAAATAATCTCGGTTGGGAGTGCACGAGGTGGAGGCACCGGAATCAACGATCCAATGTTCACGCAGAGCGGGGAAGTTGGCAGGACCATAGGTCACCGATTGAGGTAGAGGTGGGTCACCAGCATCATTCGCACAGTAGCGGAGATCCGCGTGTAGGGCAAAAATGCCATTTCCCTTGATGACTTGGAACGGTGGATGGGGACGAACACCGTCGACACAGCGTGGTGGAAGTTGGAGAACCACCTTGATGGGTGTTTCCGATGCAGCGGTAATAACGTCGCTGCGGGCAGCCAAGAAGGCACTGGGTGGGAACAGTGGAAGATCCACTTTGGTCGGTTTCGCAGGGATTTAGAATAACGGGCGTGGTGGGTAGAGGTGTAGACGGTCGGTAACGAGGACCTCATTAGACGGGACTTCGAGATCACCGGCGTCAACGGGAGACCCGTAGTTGGCTGGCAATGAGGACGGTTCGACGATAACTGGCGCCAGTGGCAGAGCCGAAGCAGGTGCAAGAGTCGAAGGTAGTGGAGGGCGCGACGGCGATGCAAATATGTCGAACAGTGGGGCAGAGCCTGTAGTAAAAACGTTGGGTAGCACGCTAGGCGGTTGAGGCTTTTCGAGGACACGGTTGAGGGAGGATGGTATGATGGTGTAGTTGGTAGCAGCCTGAGGACGACCGCATCCAAGGTCACGGTTGACTGCATCATAAGCAGCGTTGCCGGCGTCATGATGGGCATATGCTGGGATGGTGAACGCGTTTAGGACATGGTACGAGCCATCAGGCTGGCTGATAGCTGTGGGGGGAGGCGCAGGGGCCGCAACAGTATGCGTGACCGCGGCAAACTGAGAACGAGACTGGATGGTGGCGGCAGAGCCGTGGTCACCCAGGGCAGAGGCGCGTTGGAGCCGATTCGTAAGAATACGACGGAGCGACACCCAAACGTCATCAACAACAACGGGGGTACCGGCGGCTCCGCGCAGTGGAGACATAGTTCGTTACGACTTCCCAGAGCTCCTTGTCGTTGATAAAGGTGTCAGACATGGCACACAGAGTGTGGTAGTTCCAGATGTGGGTGTCGTAGTCGATAGACGAGATCGCCGACGCGTCCAAAAGGTTGAAGGAGGGCGGGGTCATTGACACGCGGTAAAGCTTGACGGGGTCAGTGAGCTCAACAGCCAGAGTGTCGATACAACTCTCTTCCGTGAACTTGAGAGTTCGGAGGTGGTTGGCAATGACGGCGGGGTTGTTGTCCATGGGGTTAGATTCGAAACGAACCTTAAGAAGCTCAAAGAGCGAGTAGGGACACACCGTCGTCTGGTAGAGGCGGCGAAGGTTAACCGAGATGGCAGATACTAAGAATGTGTGCGCGGCAGAGCACTGAGCTGCGAGCTTCTTGCCCGCCTCAACGTTGATCGCTTTGACCTGAATGGCGGCTGTGTGCGCTTTGATTTCCGACAAACGCAAATTACGATCATACTCAGATAAGGAAATATCCACAACATAAAATTCCCAGTTGTCGATCTCATCGAGTTCGAGGTAGGTCTTGCTGACCTTGAGAGCTTCGAGCCGGTTGCCACGAGGAACATGGTTGGGCTCGATGTAGAATCCCGCCAGATCACGTGTCGTCGCCTGGGACAAGAAGTCCGTTTTCCACAGAGTGTAGGCCAGAGGCCGCGACTCATCGAGTGGTGTGCCACCGAATGGCTGCGCAGAGGTAGGAAGGAGGCTCATAACCTGTTAAGAGGACGAGGAAAGAGGTAGCACTGAGGAAAGGGGCGAGAGCACGAGGCACACAAAGAACACTTGTGTGGTCGGGGGCAAAACTGAAAGTGAGGATTATCCGACTGCTTACAGCCAACCAAAGGGAACACCGGATAATATCCTTATCCGGTGTTTTGTGCCGTCGGAGCCAAAAATCTGCCCAGACGGCACAAAATCCGGATACAATCCGGATGTGCCAAAGAGGCCAAAGCAGACAGGCCAAAGTGCCCCTTCTTGACAAGGTGGTCAGAGTACAAAACATATGCCTCATCTAACTACTCCGAGTAGAGTATTAGTTTGAACGGTTTACGGTACAGTATTCAGATATGTTGAACTTATTTCAGGGTTAGTCACAGTAATGTCGCAAACATCAGGTATAATACTACTGTACATGTAGTACTAATACTACAGTAGTATTTGTTTACTCGTACACACAGTGCAAACATTAGGTATACTAAATTAGTAAAATATATTTTACTCCGTGTCTTTTTATAGGACAGCATATTTTGGCCAAATAGCCTGTCGAAAAAGTCAAGGAGTGAAAGTGGTTAGGGTGATTTTTCATAGCACACCTCTTGGACAATATCCGGTCGCACAACGCCACGTTTGAGGAATCCTCAAAATTCCCTAAATAACACGATGAATGGCTGGGGTCCTGCAGCGAGCACGTGTGTAGCAGATAGCGCCATAAGACGCTGCAGCGGGAGCCTGGTGAACCGAAGTGAACGTGCATAGTGCACTTCACGCCACTAGCCTCCCGCAGCAGCGCTTTTGTGACAGTCAGCATGCACTACACGCTCCCATAGCTGTGTGCCTTTCGAATTGATCCTGCCTGGGTCTTATTTGGAGCTCTTTATAAGTGATATCTTGAACTTATATTACATCGTACGGTGCTGAAAGGATATTCCTCGTTTGCGACTCCAACGGAAGGCATTGGGCGTCTAGGACACCCAGCATGTCCAAGTCCATTTTCAGTCGGCTCTTAATGGCAAATTTCATAATGAAGTTATTGGAAGTCTATGATTGGCTATAAATAAATGCACGTATTCAATCAAAACCAATTATACCTGGCCATGCTGCTTCTTCGTGGCTGTTTGCTGTGCTTTGGAGGTACCTTAACTGAAAACTAGCATAGTGATAACGAGAGGAGATGATATACTGGTGAATTACCCGTCGTTGTGGCTCGCATCAATGGCGAGCAACTCCACTAAAAAAACAATAGAGAGGGAGAAGGCTGGGGCCTTCACAGACCCTTGCGGGTCATTACGATGTTCGAAGACTACGTCTTCTCCAATCGCGCTCACGCGCGAGTTACTCTTTAGTGAGACAAGATCAAGAAGAGTGAACTCGAGTTTGGAACTCTGTCCCAATTTTGTCCAGGGACAAAATGGGACCAATGGGACAAATTTGGGACAGATTCTGCTAGCGCAGAACATAGCAGGAAGGCTCTGCGTCTCTCTTGTAATTCTGTCCCACTTGTCCCATGTATTTTTAATAGAAAGTAGCTAGAGAGAAAGAAAAGAAGTTGCATGATGGTAGCTAGCTAGCTAAGCTATGGTTACCTAGTATGTTTGCTAACTAGCTTATTTCGCTTTTGTATAAACGTGAATGTGGTACCCTACTCTACTATAGCGACTTTTTGTAAATTTTCATGGGACAATGGGCCATTGTAACAAGGAGCACGATCGTTAATGCTAGAGTGACAGAATCCAATGGGACAACCAATGGGACAGAATTGGCCAATGGGACATTTACGCTCCACTCTCAAGAGCCATGCATATCTCAATCTACTATGCTATAGCCGACATTGAAATGACCCATGGGACGATGGGACAAATGAGCTCCAATCTCAAGGACCACGATCGTTAATACTCGAGTGCCGCAATTCAATGTGACAACTTCAAATCTGTCCCGGGACAGAATATAAACGTGCGATGAGGTCGTCGACCTCCGAGAAATCAATCCTGAATTAAGGTGGGTAAGAGAATATAATACAATCGAGTTGAAACAATCATGGCCACGCCTACAATTTGGAGACGTCGAGCCCTCAATAAAGTAAACAAGGAGTTTGAGGAAGAACTCTACACGGTTTATGAGCATGAAAGAGTTTCCGAGTTGGAACGGCGAGATGGGCTGATTACTGAAGATGAGTTGTTCGAGGAGTACGATGAGACTGAAGAAACCATAGAAGCGCTGAATCATTGGTATCAAAGTGAATTAGATTACATCGAATACCGCACAGCCCCAATGCGAATGGAATTGCAAATGCGCATTCCATTGTGAGGTCGATCATCTTTTTTTTGTGAATTCTCACAAGTCTCTCCGAGAAAAGCGTTTAATCCTGAATTAAGGTGTGTGATAGAATATAAACAGACGATTGAACAAACAATGATGAACGCCAATGAGGAACACGATGTCGCGCTTGCGCAAATTGTTATCAAACTCAGCTCTCGATTGGACCTATCGCCCAGTGAAGTTCTGAAATTGATCAAATCGTTCGGTGGCGGGAAGAAGTACACATTGTCGGGCGTCGCTTGCCACGTTGATTGGTATGAACATTTGTACTGGACGAAGATGTAAGCAACTACAAATAATAAAATAAACACACAATCTCGTCATTAATATAAAATCAATGTCCAACATCATCACTTTCGGTCGTCACAAAGACAAGTCACTTGATGAAATTGCTGAAATCGACCCTCCGTATATTACATATCTGCTAACGACGACTGAGTACTGTACATTAAGCCACAACAGCGCAAATACATTCTTGACAATCTCATTAGCGGCATCAAACTCGGATTCGGTAAGTATGCTGATGAAACGTTCGGAGATCTGCTATTGATGGATCCCAAGTATCTCGAATGGATGGCTGTTAAAACTAAACATTCTTGGGTAGCATCGTATCTGAAGTGATCGAGTAACAAATATAGCCATGAAGTTTTCCAAGGCAAAAGCGATCGCGTACTTTAAACGTCACCACATTCCATTCTCCGAGAGCACCCCAGCTGCAGATTTAATCAAACTCGCCAACTTTCATTTCAAAGGTCAGCTCGCGAGGTGGAACGCTCTAAATAGTCTCCTTCCATCGGAACAAGAGAGAGTCAAGCTTTGGTATACGCTTGAACTAGCTGCGGGCAATTTGTTCTTTTGAGCTCATTTCTTTTTTTGTCGATCTCATATAGCAACTACAAATTCGACATCACTTATGAAGGTTCAAAACCAATACGCTACAACTCGATCTCAGGCCGAGCAATACCTGCATTGTCATCGAATTGCATACGTGCATGATCTACCGCCACAAAAATTGATCGATTACGTCAATCGCGATTTTGCGATCAACTACGTGAACTACATAAATCCGAGTAGTTGTTCTGAATCGGAACGACAACGAGCTTGCAAATAGGCTTTTCTCCAAAGAAGCTTACTTGATGAGAAGATTCCATTCAATCGTTTGAGAACCAAACGAGTCGAGATTGAAGTTTAATTTTCACGATTTCAATCCTGACATTTCTTTTCCCTAGTATAAACGCGGACAACAAATTCAATCCTAAGCAAACAAATTCTTAGTATAACAAATCGAATAACAATGTGCATCTCGCAGACTTTGAAGAACACCCAATGCAAGAACAAGTCGGTCGCCGGATCGGACTATTGCCGTAAGCACCAACCCGCGGTCGCCGCGCCTAACGTTGATGAAGTGACTGTCGCTGCTCCTATTGGAGAGGAAGTGATTGTCGCCGCTCCTATTGCTGCTCCTAACGTTGATGAAGTCGAGTACGATAGCGACAACGGATACATCTGCAAGAACGATACGTCTGAAGACGTCGAGAGCTTGCTCTTGAGTCCGAAGACTCGAGCCTCGCACGACCTTGAATCCGATGTACAATTATTTTCCATTTCTGAAATTAAGAATAGCGCGACTCATATAGTCAAATCCGAAGAATCCATTGAAGTCCAATCTACTATGAGCCCGCAAATCGTTGTTGAACAAACTCCGTCCCTTGATACGGTGAAGCTTGGTGAACAGGAAAAAGCGAAAGCGTTTCAAAAGATGGTAACCGAGCTCAATGAGCAACGCAAATCAGCGCTCGACTTAGGTTTCACCGACACGATCTGTTCGTCCGAGCGAATTACGAACGATATCGCGAAGTTGGTTGAAGGAATGGGGCGCACCATGAAAGATTTTGAAAAGGCGATGGTCGACGATTCCTTCGAAGACAACGAACTGTCTTATTGGGCTCAAGAGCATTGCATCATTTGCAATCATGCCACAAACGATTTCACAATGAGCTACGTCGAATTCGAGAAGATCATTAAGCAGTTAGTATTTGGCAATCGTGAAAGTGTGATGCGATTCTTATGTTACATCATCAACGAATTCTTTGTATTTGGGGCCACTAGCAGCGATTGTTCGGTTCGTGCAAAAGTAAACAACCACAACCAAAAGCCTCTGCATCATCGATCGATCAATGAATTCAAGAACGTTCGCATCGCGTATCAAACCCCAAACGGCATCTCGAATACCGATCTGTTTGGCGTGTTGAAAATCATTGCCGTATCACAAATTCACCAACCAGTGTCATTTGTGGGATCATAGCCCTGAAGATCGTGATACTTTCAGCGTCGCCTTGCCGTTCCAATACACGTACGTTGGCGATGTTGCTGAAAGCGAGTTGCCAGATTTGCTTATGTATTACCTGAAGGAAGTGATTTGCAACAACGATGAAGAAGCGTGGATTTGGTTGCGCTCGTATCTTGCGAACATCATCCACCAACCAGACTCTCGTACTGAAGTCATGCTAATCTTGTACTCGCAGGAGAAGCGCGTTGGTAAGTCGACATTCAAATGGATCATCGATCAAATCTTTGGCGGTACTACTAACGTCGCAAAGGTAGAGAATCTCTCGGATGTGTTTGGCGAGCGTGGTGGTACTTCGGTTGTTAGTAAGCGAGTCGTTTGGTTCGAAGAAATGACTGAGAAGAAGGCCGTCTTTCGCGCTTGTATGGATCGTATGAAAACAGCAATCACTGAGAAGCGTACTACATACAAGCCGTTGTACCAAGAGCTTCATGAAACGAACAACACGAATGAGTACATCGCTTGTACGAACCACTTGGTCGGTGTGCTCGCCGATCGACAAACCGTGCTACACGTCAGTGACAAGCATCGTGAAGATCATGCGTTCTACACCAAACTGCGCGCGAACATGAATCAAGATGGTTGTAACAAGTTTGCAAGCTATCTCAAGCAATTCACGACTCAGTTGCCAATGCGCATTCATAAAACGACCATCTACGAATCGATGCTGTCGAATGGTGCTGAAGGTATTGACACATTCATCAATGGAGTCAAATCTGGCGAGATCACGTTTCAATTCCAACATGCTCCTAAATTCTGGTACGCGTCCAAGGAAGATCTATACGAATACGCATACATTCATTGGTGTGAGTCCCAAGGCGATAAACCGATTACGTTCAATCACTTCAAGGAGAAGTTCCAGCATTACAATCGTTCGTGTGAGTATACAGGCATTCGAGTTGGCGACGCTCGTATGTACGCATTCAAAGTGCCGGTTGATTGGAACAAGCAAATCGCATCGGATGAAGAACCGGAGTTTGACTAAATTGGTCCGTCGGAGATTTTTTTCGAGTCGTGCCCGCGTCAAAAAAAAAAGGCTACGACCAATTAAGCTTCTTCAGTCGTCTCCCCAGTCGCTTCAGTCTCCCCAGTCGCTTCAGTCGTCGGAGTCAACGTTACTCGGCCGCCTCTGCGAGCTGCGTACGCTTTGTTCTTCTCAATGATGGCCGCTGCATTGGCACGGTAGTAGTCACACGCGTATTGAATCTTCTTCTCACGATTCTCGATGTAGTATTGGCGCTTTCGTTCTCGGGTTTGTTCGTTGTAGGCCGGCATTTTGTTTAATGTTGGTATATACTAATACGCAAAGAATTGTCAGGATCGAAAAAAAAGAATTGGAGATCTACTTGAAGAGCATTATTTCGACACTGTAAAAGTCGCGCAACTTAGCAGTGTCATGGACTCGGTTAGAGAGATATTCTTCCATGGTATCGTAAACAGATTCTAGATCCTTACCCATCGATTTGATCGTGAAGTAACCAAGCTTCGTGAGGCCACGAATGAAGATCTTCTTCGGATCGACTCCATGCTTCTCAACAAGATCCCGAGCTTGGTTCTTGATCCTAACGAACGACAAAGCTGGCGGAGGTAGATTCACTATGCGGTTACGTTTAGGCTTGTGATTGCGGTTGCGAGCAGATCGTCGAGGGTTGACACTCAAGCGCATCGCACGAGTTGACGTGGAAGTCAATATGGTCTTGATTTGCTTTCCTTTGATCTCAGTAGTTGATTTCATTGTATATACATTAGTCGGCGTTAATTCAGAATGGGAATTATTTTCCGTTTCATAATTGACAATTCTTTTCCTAGTATATAGTAAGCATGAACAACTCATTACGTGGTTCAAAACAAGCGACAACACGTTCCGAACGTTTAACTACCAAACGAAGCAATTCGCAACGGTCGACAAGCTTGTCTATACGAGCAACCAATTTGAGATGTTCAAAGGCTATGAGCCATCGGATGAAGCACTCTCTAGATTCGCGGATGACATGGTACTCTGGCGTGACGAAATCTTGAATTCGGGCATCCTCAAGAAGCGCTTCGACTATTTCAGCCAGTATCGCTCGCTACTCGAATGGTAAGACCAAGTACGCGAATCATGCTAATAGCGTTCATTTGTTCATGAAGTATCATCTGCAAGTTCCTGATCATATGGACACAATCACGCTAGTCGAAGCCGATTGGTACGCTAAAACTAACTGCGCTGGATTGATGTACAATCAGCCAGGAACGTACGATGAAGTGACTACCTACGATCGTAAGATGTTCTATCCGAGCACTCTCGGTCGCACAACGGACAATCCAGCTCATCGATTGGAATTCCCAACGAAAGCAGGTAAAGTCGGTAAAATTAGCAAGATTCCATCTGCTGGATTCGCGTACGGAATCTACCACGTCAAGGTTGAGAGCAACGGCGACAAGCGATTTGAGAAGTTGTTCGCATTCAGCAAGCACGACCATTACACTCATACGAGTCTCAATTTCGTGCTGAACGTGTACAACAAGCACCATGGTGGTAACATTCAATTGACGCTCATTGGTAACACGTGCCTAAAGTACGACAAAAAGGACCTAATCGAATCATCCTCAGTCTTTCGCAACTGGTTCTCCATCCTGCAGAAGTTCAAGCTCAAGTTTCCTAAAAACAAGCTCGTCAAGCATCTCTCGAGCTCTGCGTGGGGTCATCTGGTCTCAACTAACACGATCATCAAGCCTTTCGATGATGTAGACCCTGACGAATACAGCACGGACATTAACGATACCGACGCTCGTTACTACTTGCGTGAAGTTGTCGGTCAATCTAGCGGATTCATGTTCTTGAAGCTTGTCGATAAGAGTAAGCCTTATTTCAAGCATCAATTCCGTATCAAACCGTTCTTGCTTTCATTGTGTCGTCGCATCATGTCAACCCTTGTTCTCCTACACCCAGAACGTGTTATTCGTATCATGACGGATTCGATTACGTTTGAAGGTAGCATCGAACTCGATCGATTCATGTTTGTTAAAGAATTCGATAAATCAGGTAGTGGTGCTACAATCGTTGGGAACTCACTCAAGATGCTCTAGTTCTTCTTGAGTAGCTCTGATTCGGCATAAGACACATTAGGCTTTCCATCACGAATGTAACGTACGTTGTTAGGATAATACAAAATCTGTTTGATTTTTTTTGCGCTCAGATTGTAGCGAATGTCGCCAGTTCGAAAGACGATACGGCTCAGAGACTCGGTGTAAGATCGATTCATCGTGTAAATACTTATGAAAGACTTCTTTGAACTCGCTACCACCATCTGTTCGAATTGATGCTTGCGGTTTCGGCATGATGCCTCGTTTGAAGATCACCCTCATCGCATCCAAGACTGTATTCGCTTGCTTGTTTTTGATAGGCTCAAAATCAATGTTGTTTGACGAGATATCGATCATTGTTAACAGGTATTTGTATTTACGTTTCGTCGTTGGTAAGTATAGGACATCGGCCATGTAGTTGTAACCGCTCATTGGGAACGTATTAGCCTTCACAGAATCGAATACGACTTTCGGTGGCTTTGTAAACGTTTCATCTATGTTGAATTTGGCGAGCAACTTCTTTGTGGCGCTCTTTGTGGCGCTCATTGTATACTGATCGCATCATTTAATTAACAATTTCTTGATAGAGTTTCTCAACTCAAATATAACGACTTTTTTGAAGACCAACGTTTCAAGTAACGTACCATGTTTCCATCATTTTCATCTTTGAGTGAACGCAAGAAGCGCCTCCAAGCATTGCAAGACAAGGTCGAACAAAACAAGCGAATCGATGCTATCAAGCGACAAGCTTATGCAAATGCAATCTTTGCAATTGACAACACGAACAAGATCGGTAATCTGGTTCCTGCGAAGTTCAGTGTCGAAACATCGATGGAGAATCTACCATCTGTCGCTGCTGCGAAGTCGGATGCTGTGAAGTCGGTTGCACAACAGGTTGTTGAGCAAACGGTACAAGGCGCGATGAATCGGATGTTGGATAAGTTATCGACCGCTACTCCAGCGACCGCTACTCCAGCTACTCCAGCTACTATCACACCAGCTAACATCCCTCTTCCACCTTCTCCAGCAATTGCAATCCCAACAGCTCTACCGATGACTGATGAACGTTATGCGCAGCTCATTAAGGATACGTTTGCTCGTTTGCTATGTATCCACAGGAGACCAAGGGCTTTGAACTCCATCCTTTCATGAAATCGGCTCGTAAACCAGACAGCCTAGTCATTGTAAAAAAAGATGGAAAGCTTTACAAATTTTTCAAGAGCGATGATAAATCTACTAACGGGTCCAGAAACAAACGTTCAGCATACAACTGGGAAAAGACTTCCGCCATCTTGAAAACTCATATCGAAAACGTGAATAATGAAGAGAAGCCAGCAGGCTATCGCGAACCTGTTGCAGTACCAAAGACAATGCTCCCTTCGTCGTCAGGCGTAATCCCTGGAAAGAAGGCCAAACGACATAGTGAACCGGTAGCCACTGACTCAAACACGTTTCGCAATCTCATGGATGAGTTTGATGAAACTGATGCGGACGAACCAATGACTGGGAAAGGACTACGATTGAACAAACTCGTCGGTCGTGGCTTCAAAGGCGGTGCTGGCCTGGAAGGCCTGAGATCCTACGGATCATATTCTAGAGCTGGAATGAGAAAAGATCATCTTCAAAAGCAGATTGGCACTAAATTTGTAGTCCTCAAAGCGCTGCGAGAAGGTTTCCTTGTGCTGCGATACCCATCTGGCACGTCCGTTGCTCGGAAGCTTCCAATCTCTCAAGCTGTTGTTGATGTTATTGACGATGTGATCACGGATAAGAAGTTTGATATGAATCGTTACAATCAATTGTCCAACAATGATAAGAAGATCATTTACGACTTGTTCAAGATCACTCGTTACGATCAAACGTTGCGAACGCCACTTCAAAACCCATATGAGTTGGATGAGGCAGAAAAATATATGCTAGAGCTCACCAAACTCAAAGGGCAGCTTGAATTGGGTAATCGCAATGAGCGTAATATTCAAGAATTCTGCAAACTTTCTAGTCATTTGTATAAATTGGGCGTTCTCTCGAATAAGCAACTGCAAGAAAACATCGCACTTGTATCATGAAGATCAATGTAAGACGACCATTGAAGAAACCGCAAAACACGTACGCTGTGTATCAGGAGAAGGCTGATGATAATGAAGAGGAACTCTTGAAGAAGATGGAAAGCTTGGTTGTTAAGCATGAAGCTAGCGGAGCGGGAACTGCTATCAAACGCTTCGCTAAAGGTTTCAAGTCATCGTCGAAGATTAGCAAACCAAAGACATTCCGTTTGGACTAAATAATATATTTTTTATGAAAGAGTTCTGAGACATTGATATAGTAACCATAAGAAGCAAGACTTCATCATGAAGGTTCCAGGAAATTATGAAGTTGTCCGTGTCGGCACATTGCGCAAAGCAAACTTAAGAAGCTCGTAAAGAATCGTGGTGGGATGCTAACACTTTCAACTAAGGAACTGAAAGGTGATCATGGATTGCTTCTTCATCCCGGGAACGCTAAGAAGGTGCGAGCCGCTCAAAAGGCCAGTAAGGGTGTTCGTCTCGACATTAGTGAAGGTGAAATTCAGCATGATATCGATCATCTTCAAGGTGGTAGCTTTTTCAAATCACTCTGGGGCTTTATCAAGGACAATGCATCGCCTTTGCTTGATATCGCCGCTAACGTCGCAACCCCTTTCGTCGGCCCTGCAGTGGCAACTGCCGGTCGTGAACTGGCTCGAAATATCACGGGGAAAGGTCTCGTGAAGGGAAGTGCTGAGATGAAAGCGAAGATGGCAGCATTGCGCGCTCGGAGGAAGTCTAAGCTTTCTGGAGCCAGTTTCAGACTATCATAGATTTCTATTCTGACTTAAGAATCTGTAAGTATAAAAGTTAAAAAAGATGTTGCAAGTTGGTATCATCTACAGAATCTTCCATAACGACTCTGATATTCAATATGTTGGCATGACGATGCGATCGTTGTATGAACGTTCGATTGAGTATGTGAGTAGCCACAATCATGAAAAAGGAACGTGTTCAATCCATAAGCACTTTCGTGAACATGGTATTGACAATTTTCAAATCGAAGTGCTTCAAAAGTACAACGTTGTCGATGAGAAGCATCTCAAGGTCTATGAGACGCTTTGGATTAACAAGTTAAAATGTGTGAACATGCTAGCGAGCTTCAATCCACTACGCGCCAATTTGAAACTCTACAACAAGCTCTATCAAGAAGCGAATAAAGAATCGATTCAACAATATCAGAAACAATATCAAGAAGGAATCGTGAAGTGCTTAAAGTACAACAGAAACAATATCAAGAAGCGAATCGTGAAGCGATTCGAGCTCAGAAGAACGCAGTGCATGATTGTCAATGTGGTAAGCGCTACACACAAGCGAATCGCTTGCGTCACAATAAATCAACTTATCCCACCGCTTGGCTTGCTTCTCAATCGTCATAAAAAAAAGGAATAGCTCATTTCGAGCTTTTTTTTGTGCAACTACTTCTTAACAGTACGCAGCAACAAATGCACGTTGATGTTGTCGTCTCTAAAGTATACAACATCGCCGTTCTGGTCCGAGATATTAACTTCTATGTAAGACTTGGGACCATCGGTCACCGTAAGCCACGCCAATTCATTAGGTTTGACTGCGATCATCTGTCCAACCACAGTGCCTTGAGTAGTAAAAGTCGTTAGAATGTCCGGTGGCATGGTATAGGCGTTTGAAATTAAATTGCATCTAACAGTATATGATGATACAGGGTTAAGCTGTGGACTCTTCGTGCTTAGGAAACTAAGGTTACCACTAGAAGGCGTCGCTGGCATTGTACTTGGTTCGAAACCGAGCAAGTTACCAAATTCAACGCTAGGAATTACCATTCGCATTGTGAGACCGCTCGCAGGCAACCCAGAACCACCAGCGCTGAACAATCCTGTCGCGGGTCGTGTGAAGCCAGCAGGAAGAGTCGTCGAAATGGATTGAAAATCGACTTGAACAGAATAATACGTAGGATTAGTGTAAACCTTCATGAAGTAAACATTATTCTTCTCACTATCAATTAGATAGGCTCCGACTTCAATAAGCTTCAATTGAATTGCTTGATTCAGATCATCGACCTCAAAGTAACCATCTTGCAACGTCATTGTAACGGTTGCAGTTGTAGCGCCAGTAGGAATGATCAGACTGAATACATTGTTGCGATAAAGAGCTGCGTCGATATTGAATTGCGAGTTGTAAAGTTGGATGCTAGCAAGCGCAACTTCTTGATCCTTAAAGTTAACACTCGAGTTGTTCAATTCGAAACGAAGTACATTGTTTGTACGACTGATTATGTTCTTACGATCAACTGCGATTAGTGAAGACATGACTTCTATATTGAGTTGAAGACAAGTTTTGAAGAATTGGAATTACAATTCGCTCAATTCGATCTTTTTTGTGAAATTATAGCGCATCTCAGCGTTGACGCTATCAATTAGGAGACCTTGTCCTTTGTTTTGTGTAGCATTTTGATACGCTCGCATAAGCTTTTCGATTGTCAAACCTGGAATCGTAAAGTCCGACATAATCATACGCATATCTCTCTTCGAGTTCGCCTTCAAGATCATCATATATTCTGCATTGAGTCTTATCATTTTGTCCGTTGCAAAATAGCTATGAGAAAGGAAAATGTAGACAAAAGCTTATGACGACCTCTTGTAAAAAAGTGTGAGAAGAGATCCTTCTGGAGTCGCTTATCATTGCTGTAGTCGTCTATCAACACTAGCTGCAAGGATCCATTTGCTTTGATTTGATCAACCGACGGTGGTGTGTCTGGATCGTAGACGGTGATATGTCCCTGAAGTTTGTCTTTCAAGAAATCATAAATTGGTTGATCAGGATTACGAGCAATCAAATGCAAATGAGTGTAGATATTGGGAGACTCTTTGAGAATATGCATCGCTAAGTTTGTTTTACCTCCATTAGATGGCGAAAGGATGATCATGCGAAACAAGTTATTGATGTTCAAATTTGGATTCACGCCATACGACTTTCCTTTGAACTTGGCTGGAAGTGACGCTCCATAATTAGCAATGCTCATTCTTCTTCGAAGTGATCTTCTATATCATGCAGAATATACAAAAAGTAACAAAATCGTAATGTCAGGAATCGTAGCAGACCGCCAACGTCAATTACCTACACGTACAACCAAAATGCTTTCGCAGGTAATGAAGAGTATCTAACACTTGGTGCTGCAAATCTCTTATACTGCCCAATTCAAGATATTCGTCTTTCTTACACGAATGGAATCGTTCTTGGACAAGCAGGTCCTTCACAAGCTCTCGTGCTTGATGCAAATCGTTCGATTAATAACATCAATTCTTTCACATGTACGAACATGTTTTCAACGAACATCTCAGGAACGCTCTCAACAGCAGCGCAAACTAACATAACATCAGTTGGGACGCTACTTGATCTGAGAGTCAATGGGTTCATTCGACAATCAAACAATGTAACGAGTGATTCATTTCTATCGATTTGATCTGCGTCTACGTTTAGGATGACTCACATGCTGAACGATTGGATGACGATTGGGATGACGTCCAATCATGGATTAGGGTTCTCGACGAATAACACTCCACAAATGACGATTTCAAGCGCAGGAGCTGTGAGTGTTGTGAATTCGTTGAGCGTTGGTACTACATTGAGTGTCGGTACGTCGATGACGGCACCAACATTCACAGGACGACATCTCATCAATCAAGCGAGCGATGCTGGCGTTTGCACCGAAGCGTCTCCTAATGCGTTTCAAATCAATTCATCTGGATCGACAGCAATTACATCGATGTGCATGTACGGTGGATGTAGCAATACGGACTCTAGTGGTTGGTTTCAAACTAGTAAGGTTGGTGCGTATGGATGGCTGACATTTCAACCTAGAGGAGGTAACATCTTGATTGGCGCTATTACAACAACCCAACCACAAACTCTAGTCGTGAGTGGTACGACCTTTGTAACTGGAATGAGTAGGTTGACTAATTGTTTCATTCAATCAACGTCTGGAGCAATCAAAAACACTGAATCGTCAATTAATCAACTTCAAATCAGAGACGGCCCTACAAGCGCTAGCTGTTCTCTCTACATGAATTGTGATAATACCAAAATCGGAGGCGGGTCTCACGTGATGAGAGCTAGTCTGCAGGCTTCTCACATGGAAGGAACTACTCGTACATTCGATACGATCTATCTCAATCCGTTGGGTGGCTCGGTATGCATAGGAGCGTTTCAAGTCTTAAATACCGCGTTGCAAGTAAACGGTCGTATCGCTACGAATGACAACATCATTGCTGGTGGGACTGTTTATGCTCAATCGGTTCAAAGCGCTGATGATTGGTACAGTACATCGCATCTTTGTTATCAGCTGGTGGGGCTTGGATTCAGAAGAATATCGTTGCTCAAGGAGACATTCAAACGCAGTCTACCACAGCATCTACTTCATCTATTACCGGTGCGTTACGCTCTGCGGGTGGTCTTGGAGTTGCTGGTGATGCTTGGATTGGCAGTTCATTGAATGTTGTTGGTTCTACAAACTTGAGTTCGATTTCTGTAACGAATGATGTTAGCTCGTCACGATTGACTTTGAACTCTGAGAACAATTCAATTCGTATTAATCGACCTTCGAATGTTAATACGTTTACACGAATTTCAGCAAATGGCGGATTCTATAGCTCGCAATTCGACATATTTTCACAAGAAAGCACTACAAATTGGGGAAGGATAGCATCGTTCGCTCTACGAGGCACTGGAACTAATTCATCGGGACGCATGTCGTTATCATCGTTATATAGGAACGGAGTTACTCTCGACATTGGTAGTGATTTGCGACCAAACGCAATCTGTATCCAACAAACCAATAATAGCAGCTCATGCAATCAAATCGGCGTCAATTCAACGGCCTTTACGCTAACAAGCGCTCAATCTTTAGGATTCACTTTTCATTCAAACACGTCGACAACTCCAGGGCAGCTTGAGAATGAAGGTGTTGAACTAGCATCGATTACGCTTCTAGGTGAAATATGAGCGAACTCTAACTTGTTTACACGTGCTGGGTTACACATTTCGGGAATTAGTGAATCTAATCAAGTCCGTAACTTCGGGGACTCTGGTCATATGCATTATGCTGCGGACATGTTTAGCATCTTTGCGTACAATTACTCACCTTTGCAGGTCCAGCCTTGGCGTAACTTATCGCTCGGAGCTAATTGTCTGTTTATCCGTGATGGTAATGGTACTGGCCATATAGGAATTGGCACACAATTACCTACGTTTCCCCTAGATGTAGCGGCCTCAACTAGTACCTCGTACTCCGGATATGGCTGGCTGAACTCTGGAGGTGCTGGTAACACTGGTGGTAGCTCTGGGAGTGTTAACGTTGGAATACGCTGCACAACACGTATCCTGGCCACAGAATTTAACGCAACTTCAGATCGTAGACTAAAGGAGAACATCTCTAACTTGAAACTAGAGAATGCGATGCGTTTCTTGAAAGAAGTAACTCCGAAACGTTACAACCTCAAGGGAAGAACATCCATTGATTTCGGATTTGTAGCGCAAGACATTCTAAACTGCTCAGGGGATGTTCTGGATGATATCGTCTCATTACATCCTAATGAGAACATGAAGAGTACTAACGGCATTCAAATGGCTGACGAACCGGACGGATACGCATTGTCTGTGTCGTATCTAGAGATCATACCGCTACTTCATCGATGCCTTCAGGATGCTTTCGATAGAATAGAAATGTTAGAAGCTCGGTTGTCGTGTAGAGGCGCCGATGGGAGGTTCACAAAAATCGCCAAATTAGGCTTGTTGCTGTTGCATTCGTTGCTTGTGAGCGTTGCGTGTTGACATAAAAAAATATAATCAATATCATCCAGTTACAAGTCCTTTTTATCACCATTTCACTCTAATACATTCTAGACGTCCAACTGAATCTCACCCGTGAGCCTGTCGTAGCTAAGAGAGCGCTCGTGGATGACCAAGATTAACAGGTTGCATCCTTGACAACTCGAGTTAGTACCAGTCACTTGAACACTCTGAGGAACGTTTGGGTCAGTAACACGAGAGCAGTCACCAACGACGTAACGATGAATAGTAGAAAACTTCTGAAAATCAATCAGACCGTTACTCACTTGATGTGTCAAACCACCATTGATCGCGCCGAGCTTCTTGAATTCGTTGTCATACAATTCATAATCATAGTCGAGCGTCTTCGAGAACACGTTCTCATTACCAATTTGAATCTGCATACTCCGCAACGACGATCCAGGCTGCGCGGTCCAAGGCGCCGAATCGAAAGGCGAACGAAATTGATCAACGTTCGTCGCAGTTGTGTAATGTCCACTATAAGTCTCCGAGAAAGGTACGGCAATTACATGCTTGATGTTCTTATGAAACGCAGACAATTGCACATTGATTGGAGCATTCAATTGAGCGGTATCACTCTGGCCCTTACCACCAGCTCCCTGGAAGTATTGGGCGTAACAATCCAAGAACTTAACATACTTCACAGGCTTCGAAATGATTGCGCTCGGATTCGCGATGTCGTAGAAAGGAATGTTCAAACGACTCGTCGAATAGGGAAAATACGAACCAGCGGTTTGGTAACTCGTGACAGAGTTTTGAAGCGGACCAAAGGCAAGCTTCAAAACAGTACCGCCAGAGGTTGGCAACAGACCAGCCATTGCGTTGTTAGAAGCAGCACTCGCAATCATCACAGGAACCGTGTTACCCGAAGTCATTGTAGTACCTCGAAGAGACATTTCAGCAGCACCAAAAGCAGCACCGGTAACATTAATCTCAGTGAAACCAGTATTGATGCGAAGACGCAACTTCAAACTAGGATTAGCGATCAAATCGAATTCCTTAAAGATAGGATGCAAGTCAACGAGACGAATCTTCAACATATGATACCAAACACCAGCAACTTCACCACGAGCAGCTACGGCAGCAGTCGTAACGAAAGCTCCTTTTCCGTTCTGGGAGATTTGAGTAGCAACGGGGCTACGTTGAGTGATCCAGTTGTACGGGTTTCGACCAGATCCATCAACGTTACCAGTAGGTTGTGGGTTGAGATACGCGCGCTTCACAAATCCATCGTTTTTTCCCAACTGAGTTTCAGCCGGTTGCAAACCACCAGGAGCATTTTCATTCGAGAAGTTGTTAATAAAACCATCACCAGACACACTTCCATTAGCACTACGATCATACGACATCGAATTCCAATCATCAGGCGCAACAAAGGCATCAGCACCATGCTTCGCGCGATCCGATTCAGACCATTCCGTTTGAGCGCGGATGTTGTTCCAAAAGAGCTTGTAGTCACCGTCTGTGAGAATCGTCTTACCATCCATCTCAACCTGCAACGAATCAACAACATTCCAAACACCACACTTAAGAGCAATGCAATAGCGATTGACAATACCACCCATCGCCGTGGCGCCAACATCGCCGTTGTTCTGCAAGGTCACAACATAAGGCAAAGTAATGTACGAGTCGCGAAGAGACGCAAAGCCCTTCGAACCCATCAATTGAGATTGAGCATCGATTTCAATGACGCCAGCTCCGTACGAGCCTTGGTTGCGATCAGTGACATACGTCATGCGCTTAGCACTCGAGACGCTCGGAGTGTGATCAGACGAAGTAGCTTGATCGTACAAATATGAATCGGCCGTTTGATAGTCGGACATCGTTATGGTAGCTTGTTTGTTTGGTTCGGTTTCTTCGAAACGGTTTAGCTCGCTTATTATACATGATCGTAGAGAGTTTTTTAACATGTCGAAATTAATTAAAGGCGTTTCATTGGATCACGAGCTAATTGGGTTGGCGGAATTACTCGATGTTCATTTGGATGGAATTATATCGATTGGTGAAATCAATACAATGAAGAATGATGGTACCTATATTATTCTCTTGAGAATTGATAATGGAATCGGACATTGGGTATGCATTCACAGAGGTTTCTACTTTGATCCGTTTGGAGTTGGACCGCTGCCAGAGTTGAAGGTTAAATCGTTTAACTCAAAACAGTTTCAAGGTGCGTTTAATCAGTACTGCGGTATATTTTGTACGCTTTGGTTGTACTCGAGACAAAAAAGACAACCGAATTTAATGAATGGATTCGTTGATTTAAATAACAAGACTTTCGAACGATAAAAATAGCCTACGGCTTTGAATCCCTTAACTGTAATTTTGATTTTCGTTACAGCGAGAGTTGTTAGTATGCGACATGTTCGCGGAGACACGCATACTTGATTTGACTATTGCGGTGTGTCGCAAGAATTTAGTTTGTTTTGGTTTCACGATTTTGTCGAAACAAAATGGATGTTAAGTAACTTCAGATGTAGCTTTAGTTCTCGATGTAATGCTAAATTTCCTAATCGCTGGCTGAGTAGTAATCGCTTTCTTTTTTGAATTGCAATTTCAAGCTTTCGTTCATAAAAGCGCTTATAGGCAGCGTCGATCATTTTGAAGATGATTAACATTTGTTGGTCGCGAGTCTTGTACATTTGAGATTGTATATAATTGAATCTAAGTTTTGGATGCTTTTAAAATTGATCCAACGGAGAACGCGGCTAAGATCATTGGGAGCATTTGGACGAATCGATCACGCATAGGTGGAATGAGCATTTCTATTTGAAGGCTGATAAAAAAAGAATTAATTGTAGTTGTTTAGCGTCTGAAGCTAAACGATTCATTTCTCTTACCACTCCAGTGCTTCATCGCCTGTCGAAATTCAGTTAGATCAGGGATGACCTTCATGAAGGAAACTGCCCAATCGTTGTAGATTTGATGCGTCTCTTCAAACCCTAGCAGCGTTTTGAACTCACTCAGCATTTCATCTTTCAAAACATGTTCATATGGGCTCGTGGTTATGATGTAGCCACCAGTCTTAGTTTTGAAAAGTTCGATATGATCAAAGAATCGGTTAAACTCATCATTCAACCCGTGATGAATGAACTTTTGAAGGACAACGGGTCCACGAGTATGAAAAGTCCTATCGACGTTGTTTTCTTCAATGAATCGGTCGCGAGTAATTGTAGATTTGATTGGCATCCTTTATCGTGTTCCACTCGAGTGTTTATAGACTAATTCAGGATTGAAATCTTTGATTTGATGATTTGTGAGAATTCACAAAAAAAGTTGATTGAATTAGACGTTGAAAATTGGCTCTTCATCTTCATCAATCTCATCGTCATCGCTGAACCATTCGGGCGCGTTTGCATTCAAAGCTTCGAAATACTCCATGTTAGCGTCCTGGCGAGCATACTCCGCCAACACATCATTCCATTTTTGCTCCTTGATAATTTGTTCGTAGAATTCAACCGCACTAATTGGCGCGAGCAGATTGGCAATTACAATTTCAGTAGTCGGCATCCTTTATAGCGTTCAACTCGATTGTATTATATTCTCTTACCCACCTTAATTCAGGATTGATTTCTCGGAGGTCGACGACCTCATCGCACGTTTATATTCTGTCCCGGGACAGATTTGAAGTTGTCCCATTGAATTGCGGCACTCTAGTATTAACGATCGTGGTCCTTGAGATTGGAGCTCATTTGTCCCATCGTCCCATGGGTCATTTCAATGTCGGCTATAGCATAGTAGATTGAGATATGCAACTATAATGGCTCTTGAGAGTGGAGCGTAAATGTCCCATTGACCAATTCTGTCCCATTGGTTGTCCCATTGAATTCTGTCACTCTAGCATTAACGATCGTGCTCCTTGAGAGTGGAGCTTACAGTGGCCCATTGTCCCATGAAAATTTCCAAAAAGTCGCTATAGTAGAGTAGGGTACCACATTCACGTTTATACAAAAGCGAAATAAGCTAGTTAGCAAACATACTAGGTAACCATAGCTTAGCTAGCTAGCTACCATCATGCAACTTCTTTTCTTTCTCTCTAGCTACTTTCTACTTCGTATTAAGTCTTTGTCGACAATAGTGAGGATACTCCTCACTCAGCCCGTCCGGATACAGAGTGGCGTTACTTTAATCAAGTCAAGCCAAAATATCCTCACTCCACGGGAAAGCGGGTTGTGAGGATATTACTGAACTTATTCTGAACTCGTGAGTTGTGATTGGTCATATTTTTTTTGATGTCTGAATAAAAATACAGCGGTACCCATTTCAAAAGTTCGCCATGACATCATTTGAGTGTCGTCGGCAAATGTATATACCAATGATTTGTGCACAGTTGTCAAATGTGCTCGTTCTGGAGCCGCGCATTGAAGGTGTCCAACGCACACAGAGACAACCCATTGACTTGTATGAGTTTTGTACCATGGAAGCATTAGGGGGAGTGAATATAGGATTTCTGGTTTTACTTTTGCTTTTCGTTCACTTTGAAAAGGAATTTTTTATTCAACCGTATTTTAATTGCTCAAAACGAAAAGCTGAGGAGAGTCAATATAGGCCAACGATCTCTTGTGCATGTGCCATCCGTATCCGTATATTTGCATTG